CTGCAGAATAAACAATCCCAGTTAGTCTCTGTCTTCTTAATATTTTTTGTAAATTTAACCTAAAAATATCAAGCAAAACATAAAAATGACATGCTGAGATTCAGTAAATCAGGTATGGAGATCATTTTGAGCCTTTGAAATGTTCCACCCATTATTACATCATTAAAAATTAAGTCTCATGGATAATTTATGTTCCTTTCTAGGCTGGATTCTATTTTAAAACTCAAATTCTTGCAATTTTGATTACCAGGGTGGCTGAAGTCTTTCTTGGTTGGGATCTTCAGCCTTCCTGTTAACATTATATGTTCATTACTTGAAAGAATAAGTGTAAAAGTAATAGTTTGTGATTTAATTCATTCTGCTTCAGTAATGAAAACTGTACCTGTTCAGGTGAGGATGTGCAGAGTTCAGACCTCTTTACGGTCACACTGTAAACAGACGAGTGTTTGTGGCTTTTTATCTGAGTTTATAAGGGCGCTGCAGAAATCGACCTTTTGACTTGTTCTTTAGGCGCTTTTATGTGAAGTGTCTGTCAATAATGATTTTTATTTGAACTTCTCAGTGTGTATACTGAACACAAGAAATGCACCCTTTGCAGAGAATTTAACGTCATGTTTTTGCAAATTGACAATCAGATTCTGATGTTATTAGTTTTCCTCTGAAAGCAAAAAACACAGCACGCGTTCCTGATTTAAATATTTGCCGTAAAGTTATAGGAAAAAATAAAATGGTGACATTTTCCCCCAAAATAACACCTGATTACAGATTACTTTGTCATGAAATATCCAACGTAGTATTAAACAGCTCTAGGGTACAGGACGCACCTGCAGAAGTCCAACTGGAAAGAAACAATTCATCAGATTAAGAGGTCTAGAATTAATATTTAGGAGAAAAGGAACTATTTATTGTCAGAGATAGGTCATTCATTTGTTTAAACTGTACATGTCAGCAACAAGTCTCTATGTTCCTTTGCCTTAAAATGAAAACCTTTACTAAAACAGGGCTGTGTTATTGATAAAAAGTGTTTTAAATTTTGATTTCCATGATACAAACACAATCACAATAATATTACTGAACAATACTTTTATTCAGTATTTTTATTGGTCTTCAACTCCCACCTCCGGCAGAGCTTTGACCGCGTCCCGAGAGCAGTGGGGGACATTGACTCCGAGTGGGCCTTGTTCCACTCTACGATTGTTGAGGCGGCTGTTGCTAGCTGTGGTCGCAAGATGGCCAGTGCCAGTCGTGGTGGCAACCCCCGTACCCGCTGGTGGACACCAGAGGTACGGGGAGCCGTCAGGCTGAAGAAGGAGGCCTACAGGGCGTGGCTCGTCTGTGGGTCTCCGAAGGCAGCAGACATGTACCGGATAGCCAAGCGGGGTGCATCAGTGGCAGTTGCCAAGGCAAAATCTCGGGCGTGGGAGGAGTTTGGTGAGGCCATGGAGAAAGACTATCGATCAGCTCCAAAGAGGTTCTGGCAAACTGTCCGGTGCCTCAGGAGAGGAAGGCAGCAACTCACTCACACCGTTTACAGTGGGGATGTGGAGCTGCTGACGTCAACTGGGGCTATAGTCGGACGGTGGAAGGAATACTTTGAGGAGCTCCTCAATCCCACCTATGCGCATTCCGAGGAGGAACCAGAGCCGGGAGACCTGGGGATGGACTGCCCAATCTCAGGGGCAGAAGTTGCTGAGGTAGTCAAACAACTACACAGCGGCGGAGCCCCGGGGGCGGATGAGGTTCGTCCTGGGTATCTCAAGGCTATGGATGTTGTAGGGCTGTCGTGGTTGACACGTCTCTGCAACATTGCGTGGTCATCGGGGGCAGTTCCTGTGGAGTGGCAGACCGGGCTGGTGGTCCCCATCTTAAGAAGGGTGACCTGAGGGTGTGTTCCAAATATAGGGGGATCACACTCCTCAGCCTCCCTGGAAAGGTCTACTCCAAGGTACTGGAGAGGAGGGGCCGATCGATAGTTGAATCTCAGATTGAGGAGCGATGTGGTTTTCGTCCTGGCCGTGGAACTGTGGACCAGCTCTATACCCTTGCAAGGGTGATGGAGGGGGCATGGGAGTTTGCCCAACCAATCCACGTGTTTTGTGGATTTGGAGAAGGCTTATGACCGTGTCCCCAGGGGCACCCTGTGGGGGACGCTCCAGGAGTATGGGGTGGGTAGCTTTCTGTTAAGGGCCATTCAGTCCCTTTACCAGAGGAGCGTGAGTTTGGTACGCATAGCCGGTAGTAAGTCAGACCTGTTCCCAGTGAGGGTTGGACTCCGCCAGGGCTGCCCTTTGTCACTGGTTCTGTTCATTACCTTTATGGCCAGAATTTCTAGGCACAGCCGTGGTGTGGAGTGTGTCGAGTTTGGTGGCAGGAGATTCTCACCTCTGCTTTTTGCGGATGATGTGGTCCTCCTAGCTTCATCCAGCTCTGACCTTCAGCTCTTGCTGGGTAGGTTCACGGCCGAGTGTGAAGCGGCTGGGATGAGGATCAGCACCTCCAAATCTGAGACCATGGTTCTCGACCGGGAAAGGGTGGCTTGCCAACTCCGGGTCAGGGGAGAGGTCCTACCTCAAGTGGAGGAGTTTATTTATCTCGGGGTCTTGTTCACGAGTGAGGGTAGGAGGGATCGGGAGATCGACAGGCGGATTGGTTCAACATCTGCAGTGATGCGGACGCTGGTGGAGGTAGCCGGGGAGAGGACGGTCTGGAGCTCCCAAGCTGGGATGCTGCCCCCGTGACCCGGACCCGGATAAGCGGAGGAAGACGAAGATGAAGATGAAGACTTTTATTCAGATTATTTAGTTTGTGTCATCTATGCACGCCTATACTCTTTGTGATGGTTAAACGCATGGTGGAGTTTTTAAAAAGCAGCTCATGCAAAGATGGCAGAATGAGGGCAAAATACAACGGTAGCATATGATGTCTGTCAAAAATATGCCTCTGGTTTTTTAAGCAATGACCTCCCCCATATTTTCCAATGTGTCTGTATTTCTGTTTTCAAGCATCAATATTGTGTTAACAAAATGCTGACGACTCCCTGCTTGGGCGTCCAGGTTCCTGTAGTAGCTTTTCACTTATGAGCCTCCTTGTAATGTTATGTTACTGATCTTGTGATTAGTTGGTGTGTATGTGTTTTAAGCTAATGCCAAAGTGTTACAAACATGTTAATTATATGTAATATTCTTAGGTGAAAAAATGTGTTTGAATCCTTGCTTGTCAGCACCACTCTACCACATGCTGATTTAAAGGGAAACTATGCAACTTTTTCATACTTTTAAATCACTTTCTTGAGTCAGTTGGTGCTAAAAATGACCCTTTACAGGGTTCATGAAATGTCCCTAACCCCCAAATTCCACTACCTCCGCTCCGCTCCGCTCCGGTCCGGTCCGCCCCCGCCTTCCGCTGCCGCTCGCTTCCGAACTCAAATTTTACTGCTACCCACTCTACAACGGCTCAGCTCTGGTGCGGAGACCTGAGGTGGGCAAACAAGCATGCGCAGGATTTTCGAGATCTTGCGATACAGTCCGAGCAATAAACGCAGAAGTTAGATCCAAACACCCGTTGTGTGGGAGAAGCATCGGCATGAACTGTTTAATCTGCCCATCATTTGTATTGAGAGATCAGCAATGTTTGGATCAACAAAGTGTGACTCCTTTGATAGTAGAAACTGTATTTATGGCTTACTTTTGTGCATTTAAACTTCAGCCGCCATTGATAGTTGTTAAAAGTTGTTAAACCTGTGCATATGAAACAAAAAACGCCTTTTGTTTATCGATTTATTGTGAAAAACGGAAATTGTGCTTGCTCCTTTTCCTGTTGGGCAGTTGTGATTTCTGTCCATTTACTGCGGAGGTGCTCCGGCGTCCGGCGAAAATAGGATTGATTCTATTTTTGCCGGACGCCGGAACAGAGGGCGGCGCACGGCGCTGCACTGCCGGAGCATGGCCGCAGTAGTGGAATTGCTCTGATTGACTACAATGGGACCGATTTTGCTCCGGCGTTCGTGTCGGAGCGGAGCGGAGGTAGTGGAATTTGGGGGTAAGACCTCCACCACCCTCTTTGGCCAAAATACCGCACTTGCAACTTCAGAATGCCGGTCTGGTCCCTAATGTGAAGCTGACATGCCAGCGCTGCAGTCTGCTTTCAGCACTTGTAGCTGTGGTCTTCTTAAAGTGTTACTCTGGATTGTAGTTACTAGATCAATTAGTGTGAAATAACTAAATGTATTTGTTATCGACATGCCCTAATTTAACTGTAATGCCACTTGTTTATGTGGAAATATTTAAAAAATGTATGTTACTGATCAGTAAAACAATTTTTGTAGAAAGTCAATATTTCCTCTTCAGTAGCTTTTTATTATTTTATTTTTAATAACAAAAATTAATTTATGTTATTCATTACTGATGGCTGCAGTTTGTTTCTACTTTATTCAAATGGTGATTCTTCTGTTTTTTATTAAGGGTTATGTTGAACATTTTTTATTTCCTCAGGAGAAGAGTTGATTAGCTGAAAATCACACATGCACAAAATTCTAGTGAAATCTATTTTTTTTACATTATTACTTTATGCACAGAATGTGAGCTTTAAAAACACCTCATTGTGGTTAATTTATAATCGAAGTGCACCAAAGTGATTAAATGTCAGGCTGCATGTTTTTGCTGATGAGCTCTTATAGAACAAGCTCTCTGACACTTGATACATGTTGGGTGGATATCTTTGTTTGCTCTGACACAAAGCAATCAGCTATCACTGTCAAAGAAGAGAAATGTGATGTGGGATGAAAAGTGGGGTTGTAAAGTTGTACCTTAAGTGTTATTTTGATTTATTTGACCAGTGGGGCATCTGAAATTATGTTTGAAGAATTCTGCATGCTGTGTGCAAACTGAACCACATAAGCGGAGAAATCCAGGCTTCCTGATGTGCAGTGTAACAGGAACTATTATGTATTTTTTATTTAAATGGTTATGTTTTTGACAGAATACTTTCCTCTGTTTCCTCAGATCTGACTTTCCAACCTTTCAGATGCGAAATGAGTCATCCATATTTCCTTCAAAGAGTCAGAGCCATCTGATTTCACCACGCCCTTGTTAAGGACCCTCCGGTGGCTACTCAACGTTGAATCACAGGACATGTACGGCAGTGCCAGAGCTGTAGGTCATGTAGAGAGCAGCCCTGTACGGTCCCCACGCCTTCCTAGGTCCCCCAGGCTGGGCCACCGTAGGGCTCACAGCGGGAGCGGGGGTGGTGGCGGGGGTAAGACGCTCTCCATGGAGAACATCCAGTCCCTCAACGCTGCTTACGCTACTTCAGGGCCCATGTACCTGAGTGACCATGAGGGCGTGGGCTCCACTGCCACTTACCCAAAGGGAACCATGACGCTGGGTCGCGCCACCAGCCGGGCCATGTATGGGGGCCGCTGCACAGCCATGGGAAGCAGCCCCAACATTGCCTCGGTGGGGCTGCCGCATGCTGACCTTCTGTCTTACAGTGACCTGGGCTCCCTCTCCATGCTGCACCCCCACCACCACCAGGGGGTGCCCTCCGCTCTCCTGAGACAGGCTGTGCGGGGCAGCGGTGGGGAGCTGCTGGAGATGCAGGCCCAGCTCAGGGAGATGCAGAGGGAGAACGAGCTGCTGCGACGGGAGCTTGACCTGAAGGAAAGTAAGTTGGGATCTTCCACCAACAGCATCAAGAGTTTCTGGAGTCCCGAACTGAAGAAGGAGAGGATAATGAGAAAAGAGGAGGCGGCTCGGACGTCAATCCTTAAAGAACAGATGAGGGTCACTCATGAGGAGAATCAGGTGAGAAACCCCTCCCTTCCTTTCTTCCATCCTCTAAGCGTTCATAATCCACATTTTACTGCAAGCTGCTGCTTGTCCATCTGCATTTCTGTTCAGATCTTTCATCGCGCTCTGTCTTCCTCTGCATTGATTGAAGTCAGATGTGTTTCTCAAGATGAATGAAAACCTTTCTGGAAAGAGATTATTATATGTGTAATACCTGTTACACTCACGTGGATTCAGAGTTCTTCTAACCACAGGAAACACAACCCCTTTAGAGTTGTCAACAGTATAGATTAAATCTAAGTTTTCAGATATTTGTAAAGAAGTGAAACTCAAGCTGTATTGAACAGCCTGAGCTCAATATAGCAAAGTTTTAGTTTATTTTCACAGATTCAGCAGATTGTTCCCAAAGGAAGACATGTCAAAAGGATTTTTTTGCTTACCTCAGTGTGTGGGTGGAGTCGTGGCCCAGTTAAATCACTTACTGACAAGAGTGGGAACAGGGCCCAAAGACAAATGTCAAGGACACTTAAACACTTCCTGTCTGTCTTTGTTTGCCTCTTTTATTTTATTTTTTTTCTGTTTGTGTTTCTGACTCTGATCGTCTCTTTGGGAAATACAGGCGATAAAAAACCAGCTAATTTAGCATTTAGTGAGAACAATGTTCTCTCTGTGTAAACGTCACCTCTAGGATTAGTAGTGGTTCACTCCCTGAGCGTCCTGATCTAGTAGGAAGGTGACGTCATCAGAGTTTCCCTTTATTTATTTGAGACAGGCCGGGTGATCGTGAAGCAATATGAACATTACTTGGATGTCAATGCTAAGTTAACCCAGTTTTTCACCAGCCTGTCTTCTCCAATCCTGCCATCTTATGCTGAACCAAGCTGATTAGTCATTACTGATGCTGTCACTCCACCCTTCGAGGTCATAGCGTGATGCTATTTGTGCAGGAGTCATATGAGATTAAATCCTTACAGACCGGTTTTCTTAAATCATTTTTTAAACGTAACTTTGTCAACTGATAGGATGCATTTAACTCATTGCTAAAATAGCCTTTAGCATCACATCATCAGTCAGTTTTCAGTCATCAGTCAAAGGCCAGAGGCATTCTGACTTTAGTTAAAGCTGATATTCAGTTTTTTCTCAGAGGGCGTCGCCTAGAGGCGGAAAAACGTATTGCACCTCTCCCTGCTTCTGCGATACCACTGAAAGCAACGCCTCTTGTTCATTAGAGCTAAAACACATTGTTGTATTCTCAGATCATGCAGTTATTCATTTATTTATTATGACTTTATTGCTTTTTAAATTTTATTTCATACATCATGTTTATATTTCAAAGACATACTCGTAGATAAGGAATGTCGTCAGGTCTGCATCTGATTTGAGCATGGAGATCCTTCCAACTCTGAAATGCAGGTCCAAGGTAAATTCTTCTCCAGTTTTTGAGATGCTTACAGCAAGTTTAGTCCGTAAGGTTTTCTTTACTTTGGTTTGTCTTTGAATAGAAGCCTTAATTACGTCACACAATGGGGTCAGATCAGTTTTATGGAATTCTAAAAATCAAACATAAGTCTTGAAATAGGGAAAACCATTTACTGTACTTATTATAGTATCTTGGCCACCATCTTGGCCGCATCATGCATTTAGTCACTCCCTGAAAATACAAAAATGGAGCTGAGTGTGGGGGCAGATGATTGTCACCCATCAAACTCTGAGACACTTTAACTACTGAGCTAACCGAGCCAACCAAATCTAACAGGGGTAGTCAACTTCCATTCCTAAAGACTGATATCCAACATGTTTTAGTTATTTCCCTGCATCAACAAACCTGATTTTAACCAGCAGGCTTCTGCGTTGCCTGATGAGCTGCTAAACACGCGAATCAAGTGTTTTGGAACAGGGAAACAACTAAAACATAATGGATACCTGCCCTTAGGGAAGGGAGTTGACTACCCCTGCACTGGGGTGAGAGGGGATCATGCACTGGCTTCACTTTTGTCAGGCAGCATTTGGTCTTTGGGGAAAACTCTAGATTGCTGCTTTAAAAAGCAGCCTCATCACTGATTGGTCCAATGAAATGAGATATCGCACTTAGTTTTTAAAATCCTTGCAGATAATTTCATCTGGGATTCTGATGCTGCAGGAATAGATTGTTTTCAGCAGGATACCAAAGCGAAACTCTGTAGGGCAGGGGTGTCAAACTCATTTTAGCTCAGGGGCCACATTGAGGGAAATCTAGTCCCAAGTGGGCCGGACCGGTAAATTAAAAACAACTTCAGATTGTTTTCTTTGTTTTAATACAATCAATATAAAACAAAGCTGGAGCCTGAGGACAGTTTATCCAAAATAGTACAAGTAGAACACCTGAAGTGTACTTGAAAATTTGAAAAAAACAAAAAATCAATAAATTAAAAAAACATTCCTTAGTGATTCAAAGAGCTTACAGATCAAATGGCTAGATCAGTTTTATGCAGCACTTAAAGTACATTTGACTAATTTTACTTAACATCTTTTAGCTTTCACCAGCACATCAATATCAAGTCACATCCTGAGGGGCAGCCAACTTCAGGATGTGATTCAAGTTCTTGTGTGAGCCTTGAGCGCAGCTTTGTTTTATTTATACTCATTACAGAGAAAACTTGCTCACAAAGATAAGTTTATTTTCACTCTACATTGTAAAGTATGAAAATAAAGTTTACACAACCATCTCGCGGGCCGGATTTAACCCACTTGCGGGCCGGATCCGGACCGCGGGCCGTATGTTTGACACCCCTGCTGTAGGGTATCCAAGTTTTTATACCTAGATCAAAGAGGATTTTGTTTTTATTCCCAGGCTTGTCCAGTGTTTGCACACCCTCCATGCTGAGTGATATTTATATCCCTGGTTGGCTGCAATAATGAAGCATGGCAGCTAATAAAAGGCAGATGTGCTTTGTTACTATGATTGGTCTTTTCTCTATCGAGATTTCTGGGCTGTGGAGCGTCCTTACGTAAGCGTCTCCTTACGGTGGGACGCTTCTGTCCCACCCACTGGGCTTGTTGAGAGGCTGACTGAGGAGCAAATAGGCTCATTAATAATGGAGTCATTTTAGGCCAGTCATTAAATCTGTCCAACGGTTTTGTGTTTGACACCATTTTGTGTTTTACCTTACCGAATGAATATTGAGGGTATGCATAGTTATTATTTCAGCATCTTCTTAAAAAACAAACAAACAAACAACAACTATAAAAAAGTGTGTATTTGGAGAAACAAATGGCTCTCATGTGTGGGGTAAATACCAATAACTGCCTGTGGAGTGGTAATCAAGAGAAATGATGGTAATCACCAGGCGGTAATTATTAGCCTTGAACTGCTTCATGTGGGACTTTAAAAAAAATATATATTTTGGCAATTTTAACCATGATCTGCTTTACTTGAATTGAGCTGAATTTTTGTCACGCCGCAACCGAACAACGACTGCTGGAGGCGAACGTGTGAGGTGGAGCGTACCATGTCTGTCTGAGTCATGACCACGGCTGCTTGGTTACCCAGTCAGCTCTCATCAACGCGTCCCACAAAAATGGAGGCAGGGCGTCCCACTTATCACGTCTGCTTGCACTGACTGTGCACTTCACATCAAGCATGTTTTATTGAACAAAACACATTTAAATGTATTTATTTGGATTAAGCATTTACAATCCCGCTCATATATTTAATGTGTGTTTGGTTTGAAGTTATTCTGTTCGTGCATTGTGCAGAACTTTAATTGTCCAGTGTGTGTGTGCGTGTGTGTGTGTGTGTGTGTGTGTGTGTGTGTGTGTGTGTGTGCGCGTGTGTGTGTGTGTGTGTGTGTGTGTGTGTGTGTGTGTGTGTGTGTGTAAGGTAAAAAGCACAAGCCTTTATTTGCACACATGCTTCACTCAGTTGTGCTAAACTACACACATCTGGATTAGCAGTGAGAAAGCTGCAGCATCAGTATTTTATTTTAGGATTGCACCATTAGAATTATCTGAAAACATGAAAAACAAGCAGCATAAATAAACCATTATTTAAATATTCTTTTTCATAAGCTAAATAACTTCCAATCAAAACAGATCTTTAAACAAAACTGTTGATTTGGTCTATCCAAACCTGGTTTACCCGCAAATCCTCAAAAATTTAACCACAATATGCTCATTTTAGAAACTACCCACAATGCATTGCAAGAATATCCTTGAAACAGTGTTTGTCTCAAGTAAATGCTAAACAGTAGTTATTTAAAGCATCATATAATAAATCTGAACTAGATGAACAAAATATGACAATACATTTATCTAATTTAAAGACAAAGTTTTCGGTTAATAAATTTAAATTTAATGATGACAACATTTTTTTAACATTAAATGATTAGATAGAGTTTAAAATTTGAATTTGAATTAATATTATTGAATAAAAAATCAAGCAACTATAAACTGAAATTTCTTTAGAGAAAAAATCATTAAAAATTTTTTTTTAATTATTGGAAAATGTTTCTCATGGACGCATTTTAAATTTTTCCCCAAGCAATTAAAATGTCATCTATTTAATCCATATGGACTCATATTTTAATCTGAATCTGATAATATATGATTTCATCTTTAGTTTAGGATGAAGTTTTAAATTTAGTTAAAATCTTTAGTTGTAAAATTAAAGCAGTGACACTTCAGAGTTTTCATTGTACTCTCAACATGTTATTTTTAGGGATTTAATTTCATCCAGCAAAAAAAGACCATAAAAAACCATGCAGTGAAATGAAGAGATCGAGATTTAAATTTTTTTTAAATATACTTTGCTCTACATTTATTAAAGCTGCCTATAAAACCCATGAAAGACAGCTCTATAGGAAAAAGAGTAAAAGATGACTTGCAGAAAAGGTCAATTAAGCCTTCAAACTACTACATCATTAACTCATGAGTTCTACTGACTTTTATGATTCTGAATTCACACCGCTTTTCATTTCCTGGTAGTGGAGATGGTGCAGGGTTTGCTGGGGTGGTGTGGGTGTAACAGTGTTATCAGCCATCACGACAAACAGCACTGAGATTAGAGGTGGCCAGGAACAGTAGAGCTCTCCATCTGCCAGATGTACAAACACTCATATTTCCCTTTTCTAATCTCGTCTATGTGAGTTTTAAGGACATTTCCTTTATTTGTATTCATTAGCATCTGCAGCAAACCTCGTGCCCTTGTTAAGAGCCACCGTCAGAGATTTTATAGGATCCTTTTGAAAAAAGACAAGTATATATATACATATACACATACACATTTATAATTCAACTTAGTTTTTATCATTTTTAGTCAAAGTTAACAAGAGCTATTGTGGAAGGTCCAAAGAGCCACTGGTTGCGTATCCCTGAGCTAAAAAACAGGTACCAGTAGCAGTTTTTGATATGGGCGTCCAGGGCGATGCCCAGGGCACCATCATGAGGGGAGCAGCAAATGGGTAATTACATTTTAATTTATCTTTTGAGAGAGCGTTGACCCAACGTCATGCCAGTGTGTTCTTCTATAGTCAGGACTGACCCATCCCTCCTTATTGTCCCTGGCAGAGGCGGTCCGAGCCCATTTGGTGCCTTGGGCGAATGCACTCTTTTACCCCCTCGACTCCATCACACACCTCTCACTGGCGCAGGCAGCGGCAAGCAGGTGCACAGAGGGCACAAACGGCTGTTATGAAGCTCAGGTAGACAATTAAACAAGAAAAAAATGAAAACTGAAAGGAAGCTGATCAAAAAGAACACAACAAAAAAGCCCTAAATTATAAGTCAAAGCCCAAAATGCTAATGATCAAAGAAAACTCTCCAGTTTGGAAAGTTTAGGTGAGTTTGTACTGTGTACATGTGAGGCGAAACTTCTCCCTATAACTCAGATACAGCAACCTGCATGAGAAATCATCCCCGCGTTTCTTTTTTCTATAAGGCAGATGGCAGAATTCAGCTCTTTGCTTCTTGTTGCTCTCAGAAGGATTCTTTGTTTCTGCACCAAAGGATTTATGACAACCAGTTACCTCTGGCTGCTGTAGGTGCCAGGTGGAGATGGAGGCACTGTAGCTCAACGTTTCTGCTTGGTGGTCGTAAACCTTTTATTTATTTGCAGGGAGGAAAGGAAAAAGCAGAATCCTTCTCATAAGGCAGGGTAACGCACAATACCAATATCTGCTGAGTCATGACCGACTCAGAGGAGCAGCTACACCTCTGCTGTGGCTGACGTGGAGATGCTGGAGGAGCGGCCATGTAGTGATTTTAAACCACAGTTCAATTATGCAAATGGAACCACTGGACTGTGTCCTGCAGTTTAGTTCCATATTGATCAGAAAGGAGAGAAGGACTCAGAGAGAATAAGAGAGTAAAGATAAGGCCACAGAGAAAACTGGTTCCACTTTTGCGCATGCTTTATTTGAAATCAGAGTGTTTTTATTCTATTATTTTGTTTGTGATGAACGCTGACACACGTGAAAGTCAGTGGATGACAGAGTGATTCTGAGTGAGCTGAATGGTTTGTGCTGCTGTATCAGATGGCAATGACTCAGAAAAAGGGAGTGTGACCCAAACTGTTTTCTAATGGCAGAAGTCAGCAGGAAAGGCATCGGCTTCAGTAGCTAACTCAAATATTGCCCCCTAGTGGTCAAACACAGACATGTGTCCCGTTTTTACTCAGTGGTTTGTTGGAGAATCACCATGCTCATTTCAAATGTCTGAATGATCTCTATCCAGAAAGGTCATCTAAATGAACTTGTTTTCTTTTTGTGAGTTTTACAGGTTTTTGTGGCAGACATTTTGGCTTTTTATACAGATATTGTTCCGAAAAACACAACAGAACCCCAAACCTGCATAAACCTGCATAATTTAAATAAAATTTGATTATAATTAACCTAAAAATGTCCCAAAAGTACCTACCAGTTCCAGTAGCAGCTTTCCAACTATCAAAAGCTAAAATGTCTGCTGTGAAAATGTGTTCTTTTTCTTACTGTGTGAGTAAACTGCAGATTGAAGACTGAAGACCAGCTGATAAACCTACGAGACTCTCGTATGAACTTGGCTGGTCGGTTTTGAGCATCCATCTCTGTTGCATCAAGCTCTGACACTCTGTTTTCACCATACATTTGTTTTTCTGTTCATTCTGCCCATGCTCTGCAGCTGCTGGATGCCAGGAGAACCAAGGTTTGTCGCTATGTTTGCACCATGTGTTGGGTGCATAACATAGAGTCACCTTCAGTGTGGCGTGTCTTTTACTGGCAACCCCTTCTTCTCTGAACCTGTTACCTCCTCCCTAAACAAAGTAAAAAAAAAATCTTCCCTAAATGATTCAGTTCAGTTTGCATCCCTTCACCTTGAACCTTCACACAATTCCACATTAAGACCAGACTTTGTTTATGTCGATCTAAATGTGTAGCACTTTGTCACCCACAGCTTCAAAACCTGGACTGAATTCGGAAAAAAAAAATCTGCTCTTTAAAACTTTTAATTGGGCCATTTTCTGCTTGTAAATTGATTTCTGTTTGTGTCTTTACTTCTCTCAAGTGGAAAAGTCCAGCCAAAGTCAGTCTTAGACAGAAACTTGGTCCCAATAGTTATGTAAAAGGCCCGTATTTGATACAGTGTCTTCTGGAGTCCCCCAAATTGCTTGCTCACATACACATTCACACCCTGGTGGTAGTGAGCTACATTGTAGCTACAGCTGCCCCAGGACACACTGACAGAGGCCAGTCTGCCGTACAGGTGCCTGCACCTCAGAGCACCACCAGCAGGCAAGGCGAGTTAAGTGTTTCACCCAAGAACACAAGAGGCAGCCTAAGCGGGGCTCGAACCTGCAGCCTTCCGATTATGGGGCGAGCACTTAAGCCCTTTGCCACCATCGTCCTACGTGTATGCATGTGCTCTGTCTTGTCAAACCCCCAGGGAGTCATGTCGGATGGCTGTTTACACTGAGCCAGGTTCTGTTGGAGGTTTCTTCCTGTGAAAGGGGAGTTTTCCTCTCCACTGTCGCTACATGCTCAGTATGAGGATTGCCGTAAAGTCGCTGACACAACAAGTCAGCGGCTCGATGCAATCTGCTGGGTTTCCTTACATAGGAAATGTTGAAATAATTGGCATGATGCGCTGAACTCAGTTGGAACGTTTACTTTGCGAAGCCCCTTGAGACGACTCGTGTTGTGATTTGGCTCCATATAAATAAACTGAATTGAACTGAATTGAATTGTTACATCCTTAAACCAAGAGTGAGCTTCCTCACAGGCAGTGAATCACACATGGGTGAGAAATTAAAGTAAGTTCTAGGAATGTCAACTTTTGTCACCTCAACTTTTAGATTCTACTGCATGGACGTACCTGTCCTCTCCCAAAGGTTTTCCTCCATCTTTGTTCAACCATTCCGTCCCAAATCTTTCACTAGTGGTTGATTGGTTTGAGATTTGATAACTTAAAATTCCATGGCTGATCAGTCAAAACTTCTTCTAGATCCTTCTGAGAACAAAGGCTTCATATTCCAGTGAAAACTTCTGAAATCCGTGCAAAAAATATTTATATTAACACAAACTGGTTAATTTTACTGACTTCATATAGATAGAAAAGGGTTTGCCTAACAAGACAAGAGCATCTAAATCCTACCGACCAAATGTCTCTTAAAGTCAGCATCTCACTGGGCATTCACACGAGGGTTTCCAAACTACATTGAAATACTTGTAAGGGTTCTCAAGGGTTCTTGTCACAAGGCCTCACCTTTGGAATGCGGAAATTTAGAACTTATTCAAAAAAATTTCGAGACGATTTTTCTCTGCAAAAAGTTGCAGAATCAATACAGGCATCGATTTCATGGCAAAAAAATATCAGACAGCTTGTCGGGGGGTGGGTGATCATTTTACAAATAGAATAAGCATTATCTGCATATTGTACAGTTGACATCACAGCGTGAGTGCTGCTGGGTGCTACTGCTAGACAAACAAACCACATTTGTCAACTGAAAAAAAAAAGACGGAACCCTTGGACAAGGATAATAGCAAATCGACAGAAACAAAATTCTACCATTTATGATACTCATTACTCACATTGATCAAGTAACATTTTCTCTAAGTTACTTTTTTACTCCAAGGTTAGCATTTGTGTCACTGCTTTTTACATATCACCCACCTCGGGCCAAAAGCCTTTTTCATCCACATTTGGATGATGTTTGGCTGAGACGTTCAGCCTGACCCCTTCGTTTAACCGCTGCCTCCTGGATAGCTTCACATCTGAGACGGGAAACCTTTCTCAGTTTAGTTTCTTTGATCCAAAAAGTGTGAGAAATGTGAGAAAGGAAGGGTTGGCAGACTCGTTGAGATGAAAGTAAGACACTTTATGACTAAACTGAGACATGAACCGCTCTATGATGTTCATTCTGATTTTTCTTCAACGTTCTTTTACCCTTTTTCTTTCAGAACAACAAACCAAGGTTTTTATTATGTTTTGACAGCATATGCTGTCATCTTCTGAAGTCTCACTAGATGTTGTTGAGATGTGATACATATAAATATTTTATACTAACTGCAAATATCATATATGGTACACCAAAAATGACTAAAACAGGATCTCCACTAAGACTCATAGACTCCGTCACATTACCATTACCATTAATCCAAATATCTTGTCAAAGAGCAAGTCACCCCCAATCAACATTTTTTGCTGATAAACTATATAAAATAGTCTCTGATCATGCTGTAGACACGTGTAGTCAATAATTTGGCCCTTTTGTGCATCTTGGTCAACATTTAACCAAGTCAGTGTTGTGCCGTCGTCAGGTAAAAACTCTGCACTACGTTTGAATTTAAATCTGCCATCACAATTGGCTGAGTGACGTTAGCTTATGTTTATTTATTTGGCAGACGCTTTTATCCAAAGCGACTCACAATTTATAAACTATAGGGCATGTTTTGATCTGTGGGGGAAACCGGAGTACCCGGAGGAAACCTACGCATGCATGGGGAGAACACGCAACTCCACGCAGAAAGGCCGCAGCCGAGTTTTGAACCTGCAACCTTTGTGCTGCGAGGCAACAGTGCTAACAACTGCGCCACCATGCAGCCCAGCTGGTACATTATGATGTCACAATGCTATTGCGAGCCTGTTTGTGTGTATTTGATAGCGGCTCTGCCCTCTCAGTCTGCTAGGCAACAGCATTTGTTGCATTTTTCAAACATGAAGTGGGAGTTGAGTAAGTTTCATGTGGGGGGTGATTTGCTCTTTAAAGAGCCTGACTCTCACTGCAATTATACCCAAGACAAACAGCACAAGACTTGAAGGTTTAACTGTACAAAAGTTTAAATATTTGTCTCTCTTCACAAAAGCACCAGTGCAGATCCCACTACAGACTGTGGTCAGTCTAACAAAAGACAAAACACTTAAAAAATGGACAAATCTAAATATCATTACCCAGCAACTTAACTTTGTAGCCACCGTCCTCTGCTGTCTGCACAAAACAGCCGACAGACAAGTGACACTTCTGAGGGAGGCAGCAGACGCTTTTGAAATATGTAAAGGTAAATAAACCCTTTATCTGTTGCTCTGACAGAAAAATTAAAAACATATGAGACCAGAATGCTCACATGTGGCTTTGGCTAAAGCTAATCAGCTAATTCGCATCATTGTGCAGCTCTGAGTCTCCAACTAGTCACCAACAGTGAGATTCTGACTCAGCATAGGATTACAGCCACTGATGGGGATTTTTCTGCAGCTAACATCAATACCAGTCACATCAGGGCAATTCTTTTTCATCTAAAAAAAAACTATAACCTAATCTTTCAACTTGAACATTTATTCATCAAACATGAGTCTTTTCACTTAAAATACCCGAATATGAGTGACATTGAGCTGGCATCTTCTAACAATGCTAAGTGTGCACAGGCATGTCCAGCGTTAGCTTACTTAACCATTGAGGAATGTTATATTTTATTTGTAACCAGTGTTCCCATTTAAAGTTTGATCGGTCTTTAGGCTACATTCTTAACAACCTGTCACACTTTTGCTCAAGTGTTGAGCTAGTCTCGTGGACCAAAGCTCCCGACAGCATCAGGCTGTCTTTCCCACTAAATGAAGATGTCACATTAGTCGTTGCCATTGACACGTCAGTCATTGGACCAGTCTTGAGGCTCCTGTCATCTGAGTCTTGTTCTATTTTCACCTCAATACAAAATGCAACAAAGCATGTTTGAATGTCGATAGATTAATTTCACCATCCATTGCACCTGTGTTTAAGCGTCTGTTGTGCTCATGCACTCATTAAATTCAATCTTTCCTTTGTCACCCATCTGTATGCAAAGCTCAGCAGTGTGTTTTTATCATGCTGTTGCTTAGTGCACATGAACACACATGCACACACCTTTATTTAACGTTTACCTTTTTCTCCTTTTAATACGTTTGTTTTTGTAGTTTGTGGTTATTTTTAAGGGAGTTAGACCAAATGCATCCCATCTCTGGATAATTTTTGTAAATAACCATGAGGATGCAGGCTTTCTCTATACCCAGTCTAAATATTCTCCAGGCCTTTTTTCTTTTTGAGTTAACTCTTCCTCTGAGATTTGAAACATGCTGCTTGTGTTCGGGGTGACTGTCAGATGGTAAAGATCTCTGCTGCACTCCAGGACATTAGCTACAACATCCCTGTTAACACCAGCCTTTCTGAACTCTGTAGTACAGCTATTGCATTTGAAATGCACAGTAATAATGATCCCAAAACCTTCTAAGTTGTTGTTCCCAAAGATTTAATTGTTTTTTGTTTTTTAAATGAAACAGTTAACCCGTTCTTCTTACAAAGCTAGATGTTTGCAGTCGGTTTTATTCTGAAGGGCTGCAAAGGAAAGTTATTTAGTGTTGTGTGATAATGTTTTTGACTCCAAGCGTTAACTGTGATACAGTCATGGTCAAAGGTTTTGAGAATGACACAGTTTGTCGCCTGTATGATGTCCAGACTGAGAATTTTATAATGAGAGTCAAGATTATTTTATGATCATAGTTCTTTGGCATGAAAAAGAACCCAAACCCCCAAAACGCATGCATTTGTGAAACAGACGTCAGAGTGCTTAGGGAAGTCTAGTAGGCACCGTCTGCACTATGGTGAGGAGACTTTTGGTCCACTGTCTGATGTTAGGAAGGGCAGCAAAGTAGCCACTTTTCTTCAAGAAAGACAGACTAAAATTTGGCCCAACGATTGTTCTGCTGAAGAAAAGAAGAAAAGTAATTTTCTTTGACGCCACACCCTTCTGATTGTTTGGATATCCATAAACTTTGAGGGCTTCCATCAGTCATGTGTCATGCCAACACTAAAGTACTCGTTAATGCACGGGGTGGCTTCTTGGCTAAGGGAGTGGACTAAGTAAGATAAAAATACCTTTATTTGTCCCTCAGTGGGGAAATTGCATCATTGCAACAGCTCAAATACAGTAGAATAGCAGCAGTAGCACACAAGATATATCACACATGAGCAGAAATGTAAGTTAGGATAATTATTGCACATAGTAATGATAGTAGAAGTAAATATTGCACGTCTTGAAAGGTGATGACATTTGTAGTGGTATGTACAGATGTATGGGTTTCATATTAGCAGTGTCCATATAGAGTCATTCAAAATGCCATGAATAAAGAAATGTACCTAAGAGGAGATGTTGAACCCTTTTTAAACTATCAAAGAACCTTTAAAAAATAATTCTATTTCCAACATGATGGAGTTCTGCTCCATAAAGGAGGAAGTCACAACTAAGCTGCTTGGAGACCAAAATGTTGAAATATTGTGTCCCTGTCCACAAAATTCCCCAAACAATCTTTGAATCCCATTGAGAACTTGTTGTCTGTCCTCAAGCGGAAGATAGACAAATGCAACGCTACAAATTCCAATAAACTGCAAGCATTGATTATGCAATGATGGGTTATCCGTTAGGATTAGGACCAGAAATCGTTTGTGAGCATGCTAGGATGGATCGCATAAATCTGCATAAGAAGGACCAACACTGCAGATCCTGACACTTTGCATAAACTTGATGTAATTATCAATGAAAGCTTTTAAAACTCATGAGAAACTTGTAACCATAGACACATCTGGCGAGTACCCATGTTTGGTTCATCCTCTAAGCCTTCGTCCACGTCTGTAACTAATGCTACGTTCAGTGTTATTCCATAAGTAGATTTCAGGAATTGCAGACTCTATTTTGGTACTCATGCTTTTGTCTTTGTGATTATATTTCTCAGCATCTCCAGATGACCATCCAGGCTCTGCAGGACGAGCTGCGCACACAGCGAGATCTCAACCACCTGCTCCAGCAGGAGAGCGGCAACCGCTCTGTCTCGGAGCATTTCACCACGATTGAGCTGACGGAGGAGAACTTCCGCCGTTTGCAGGCGGAACATGACAGGCAGGCCAAGGAGCTGTTCCTGCTCAGGAAAACCCTGGAGGAGATGGAGCTGAGGATTGAGACTCAGAAGCAGACACTTGGTGCCAGAGATGAGTCTATTAAGAAGCTGCTGGAGATGCTGCAGAGCAAGGGGCTGCCTTCCGGGCCGGGCCGGGCCTCTGAGGAGGAGGAGCAGGAGAGAGCCAGGAGGATTGCTGAGGCAGAGGCCCAGCTTGGACACCTGGAGGTTATTCTGGATCAGAAAGAGAAAGAAAACATCCATCTGCGAGAGGTATGGACAGCTGTAATCTGGCCAAGTGCTTTTATTTTAACTCACTAGATGGCAGTGTCATCAAAAAAGTAAATGTTCTGCTGTGTCACATGGATTATATAATGCATGGCCTGAAAACTGCAAATCACAAGTTGTACAAACTTTTTGCATATGTGAATATAAACCACTTATGCATGTTTGAAAGTTTTCTTTCACGTTTTAGCCAAATCATGCTATTTGACTTTTCTTTAAGGAGCTGCATAGAAGAACTCAGCTGCATCAGGACCCGAGCAAAACCAAGGCCCTGCAGACCATCATAGAGATGAAAGTAAGACACTGACACATCTGCATCCAAAATCACACACAGCAGCTCCATGAGATCATTTCAAATATCAACCCTTTTCTAGTCTGTGTTTGTGCCTTTTTATGGTAAAGGTTCAAAAGCCTGGTGGTGTTTCACTCACTGAGGTCTTTGCTGTTCTGCTCATTGTTTTGTTGACTGTGATTTGCTGCTGCTGAGGCAACAGTCAACTCACACACACACACACACACACACACACACACACACACACTCGCGCGCGCACCCATGCACGCACACACACACACACACACACACACACACACACACACAAAGCTGCATTGAACTGTGACACAAAGGTTTTATGATGACAAGTATTGTCATATTTATGTCAATCATTCACTCTTCAGCTCGATGTGGGCAAACATCCCAGTCATTAACTCATGGTGAGTGTTTTTATTAGCTGTCAAGATTTATTTTGAGTTTTCATTGGAAATTAATGAAATAACCCAAGATTAAAGAGACAATGTGTCGTTTTTTCCATTAACCTCTGGAAATATCCATCAAAATGTTGTTGTAAATTAATTAAAAGATGCCCAGTTGATGAAAAATATGGACTGATTTATAACATATAATCATAGAAATCTGTTCTAAAATACATGGAGAGGGTCTAAGTCTCTGGGTGACGCCATATTGGATGCTATGTTTCCTGCTACGGAAGGACAAAATGAGGACAAATGGTCACAAAACTTTCACAGTTAATAAACATTGTTGTTTTACACATTTACCTCTTCACTCGTTGCAAGTGATGAAAGGGAAACTGATGTTCTTGTTATTTTTGCTGGAGGTTGCACTCCCAGGGATTTTTTACTCTAATAGCCATCCGTTGGTAAGGTCTTACTTGGACCAAAAGTAATGCTTGCTTGCAATCATTCAGGTATGTACTGCCCCCTGTCGCCAGGGAAAATAAACACTGTCACTTTTAGGGTTTTTAGTGTAAATTTAAACAGCCTCAGTAATCATCAACAAAACACTTCATCCATGTAGGAGATTTATAAATAATCCATAGTCTGGTTATTAATTAATCTGTGAATGATTTTTACACCATTAATAAAAGTTATAGACCATTTTAAAACCTATATTCATGTGTAATATTCAGGCTCATTGTTTACCTACATTATATGTAAGGATAATATGTATATTTATTTATTTATTTATGGATTGACCTGTGTTTTAGGCAGATAAGATCACTTGAGATGAACCATGTTGTTTTCGAGTGGGTCCTCCAACCTTTCAACAAATAAAGAATAAGCTAGCAGAGTCAAACAAAAAGGGCAAGTCTAAGACACAAAGCACAAACAAACAGACAACAAACCTAAAAACAACAAGTAGACTCTTGTTGTGGTGCACACAAAAATAACATATACCATAAACATGCAGAAAGAGGTGTCAGTAATTTTAGACTCAAATAACCTAGCTGCAGAGACATCCCAGTCAGTTACATCCACTACGATATTTGTCTGTATCACTGTTTTGGGCTTACAAATGTTATTTTCATAAGTGTTCATTTTTTTCACCATAATTCTGATCACCACACCTGCAGTCTGTGCTGTGCATATTTATGTGCTACGTTCTTTGTGAATGAGCAGATTTAAGTCAAAACATTTGAAATTTCAAGTGAAATCACATCAAACATGACAACATGTGAAGCTTTGACGTTCACATTTAAAAGAGAACTTTGGATTATTATTTTTTTAAATCTGATGGCACTGAGTGGCTGACAAATGTATCACAGTAAGCCGTGGTTTCCTTCAAGCCCCCAGACTCTGGAACTCTCTCCCCCTGAGCCTGAGATCAGTGGACTCAGTGGTCTCCTTTAAAAAGCAGCTGAAAACTCACTTGTTCAAGCTGGCTTTGGTGTGACCTTCATCACCCTCTCCTTGTTCTGTTCTCCCTACCTATTCCACCTTCCTCTGGATCCACTGATTTCCCTCTTTCCTATTCACTCTCTCTTTCTTTACATTTTAATCACAATTGTCTATTTTTTGCTCATTTTAAATATATTTTTAATCATTTTCTAAATTATTTTTTATATTTTTACAGTTTTTGTTTTTGTGAAGCGCCTCGTGACTTTTATCTTGAGAGGTGCTATAGAAAAGATCTCTTCTTCTTCTTCTTCTTCTTCTTCTTCTTCTTCTTCTTCTTCTTCTTCTTCTTCTTCTTCTTCTTCTTCTTCTTCTTCTTCTTCTTCTTCTTCTTCTTTTCCCTATTCATGATCAAAAGCAACAGCTTTTGCTCCTCTAGCCAGCAAATAGAGCTAAAACACATTGTTTAACAATGTTTATGCTCATGTTATGGTGTTTATTTATATATTTATATTTGAAAGACTTGTCCATGACTAAGGTCACACGCTCTGTGATAGAGTGGTAGTCTAACACTATCGGCTAGAGTTGACCGGATGCATGGAGCTCTATGGGCCCAGAGGCGAGCTTAGCAACAAAATAATAAAGTTGTAGAGTCTACAATATGTACAAGATAAGACAATCACTTTTACAGATTTCTAAAAAACATACATATAGCCCTGAAACTCTGGATTGCAGCTTTAATGCATGAATATTAGAAGTTTATTGACTTTTCTTTGGTTTTAATTTGTTAAAAAAGTTGCTTGTTACTCCTAATTAAAAAAGGGGTTATTATTAACAACCTGACTGTAAGCAGCTCTACATTAAAACTGATCCCACAATGGGTTTAAAGCTGTGCAGGTTTAGAGTAAGGTTAAAATCATGAGATTTGAGCATATATTTGGTGCAAAGTGTACTTGTTAAACTGCTCAAAACGTATTTTTTGTTTTTAGCTAAAAACATGTATTTAATGCAACTGTATATGATTTTATTTAATTATGTGGCAGAATTAGTTGACCAATAAGTTTATTTTTAGTTGTAAAATGTCAACATTGTGCTTTTATATGAGAATTTTTTCTGTACATCAGATGAAAGATTTTTAAGACCATCCAGCTGAGCCGCGGTAGACTCCACCAGCCTCACTGCAGAGCCCTGACATCACTTCCTCAAAATAAATCATGACATCACCGCTGAGCTGACACAGCCTCTCTCGCTCGACGGGATCAGCACCGCACTGAAGCCCCCCCTGTATGGTCACGTGACATCATGGTGCTCAGACACTGTTGATTTTCATGAGGGGTGAGGGAGGTCCCGCCTCCTCCTCCTTCCTCCTGTGCTAGGAAGGAAGACTCTGCATCCCTCCTCTCTCCATTCTGTCGATGCTGATGGAAGCACAAATAATCCTTCCTCCTTCTCTTCCCCGCCCTCTCCCCCTCACTCACCAGAGACAGCATATAGCCTGCCTGCTGCTACCATGGAAACAGGTGTGGTTGTTTATGACAGTGAGAGGCCAGTTTGCAGCCAGATAGACAGACAGACAGACAGATGCACAGAGGCAGGGAGAGATAAAGATTTACTGACCAGGTCCAAGTGCCAGTGATTCACAAGTGGATGGAATAAAACCACTCTGCTTTTAAGGTACGCCGTCTCGTGTCTATTGCAGAAATGTCAGTTCATTGATGTGCCTCTAGTAACAGACTGAGGTGAGATGCAGCAGCAGGGCGAAGTGCACGAGCGGTTTCCATGCATTGATGTTAAGCTCTGAAATCCTTCATTTCTTATTAAAATACAACAGCAATGTCCTCCTGCAGCGGGCTAAGACTGACCCCCTCTAACGGCCAGAAGTTCACCAGTTCAAAGTGAAAAGAAGAAGAGTGTTGGACAAAACGAGTAAGACAGGAAGAGGCATGGTTGCTGTGTGCATTGCTGGAGAGGGAGATGAACCATGGCTAATCTTGAAGACGTAGTATTATTTATTTAAAAAGCCATGAAGCTAAAGCTGCACACCCAGTCGCAGTCCGGAGACTTGATTCTGCAGCTTCTCTGCAAGCTTCTACACGACTAAAGCTAGAGCTTGTTACTTTCCTTCTTTTCTCTTCTGCTCGTTACTCTTCATTCCTGACGGATCAATTTGGGCTGGATGTGCGCTCAATATTTCCCAATGGTGATTAATCCTTTGAGCCGCTGCACGGATCTGGGTAGAAAGCTTTTGATTTCACGACAGATACTGCAGTTACTTTCAGCCAGACCAAAGAACTTCTTCCACCCTCTCTTTTCTACTTATTTCTCTGTCTGTCCAGATAACTTTCTCAGGCTTTGTGTTTTTATGTCTGGACTCTTGTTGTGTAGTTTGGTTTAATTTGCATCATGCAACTTGTGGACATGCCAGCGGTGGTTTTGAGGTGTGTCTCCTCCGCGTGTTTGTGTGCAGGACACCAAAATTGCCTCTCTGGAGCGCAACATTCGAGATCTGGAGGATGAGATCCAGATGTTGAAGGCAAACAGCTTACTGAACACAGAGGACAGAGAGGAGGAGATCAAACAGATGGAGGTCTACAAGAACCACTCTAAGTTTATGAAGACCAAGGTAGACCAACCATCAAAAACAATGCAGTAAAATGATGACCTAATGCTGTAAAGACACACTATCAGGAAAGTTCTCGCCCCCCTAAGAGTCTTTTGTTATTTCAATAAGTTCTAAATATTTGTTACTTTTTCATTTCTTAAAATTCTTAAATCCGAGGTATGATGTCGAAAATGTTTTAAGAAGCCCAACAGAGCCAGTGGTAGATTTGTTTTTATCACTTTCCAAATCAAAGTTTGAGTTAAAAACATCTCCTGTATCAGTGCTGTATGTATTTGTGTGTGTGTGTGTCTTCAGAGATTTCAGTCTGTGTTTACAATCACTTTTTGACAATGCACAACCAGCCACGGTTTTGTTTGTCTATTTTTAGAAATCTTATCATCAATCATGAATAAAGACCATGTTTAATATATGATGAATAGAGGGGAGTCAGTCCCAAATGCATTTTTAATGAGGGGAAAGTGTGTTGATGAAAACCGTGCCATAGTTGAAGCAACAAACTCACTACTCAGCCAGATGATGATGATGATGACGATGATGATGACGATGATGAGGAGGAGTATGGTGGACAGCACGTAGCTAATGAAACAGGTCAGTAAACAGGTCGGTTCTGTGCAGATTGACCAACTGAAGCAGGAGTTGTCAAAGAAAGAGTCTGAGCTGCTGGCTCTGCAAACGAAACTTGAGACCCTCAACAACCAGAACTCAGACTGCAAACAGCATATCGAGGTGCTCAAAGAGTCACTCACTGCCAAGGAGCAACGCGCTGCCATCCTACAAACAGAGGTAAGCAATGAGAATCAAAACTCGGCTGCAGTAGCTCAGGAGGTAGAGCGGGTTGCCTCATGATCGGAGGGTCATGGGTTCGATTCCAGCTCCCGCCAGGGGTATCCTGCCGTTGTGTCCTTGGGCAAGACACTTCACCCAACTTGCCTGTGTTAGTGGTAGTCAGAGGGGCCGACGGCGCCAAGTGGCAGCGTCGCCTCTGTCAGACCTCCCCAGGGCGGCTGTGGCTACATGTAACTTACCATCACTAGCAGTGTGGGAAAGTGAGAGTGTGTGAAAAGCGTATTTGGGTGTCTAGAAAAGCGCTATATAAGTTCAATACATTATTATTATTAGTCCTGGTCCGAATCTTAGCCTCCTTCAGACTGAATCTCATCACAGCTTCTGAGGATTCAAGAGATCATTACGATTTTTTTTTGTGGGAAAGTGATAAGCAGTTAACATTGTAGACAGCCCTCAGAACAACCTCAGCTTAAAGAAATAGATCGGACGAGTATAATAATCATTAAAAGAACTCAGTCTCAAAACTCCATAGCTTTATAAAACCTTTACAACATTAATGTTGTTGTTCTTGCAGAAAAATGAACCAGGGAAGTTCTTCAATTGCACAGAAAGTGCTATCAGACGTGTTTGTCAATAACGACAGAATTCAATAACTCAGTTCTGTGACTTTTACAGCGATGAAAGTTGATGAAGTAGTGATTGATAAAAATTGATGGAGGTTGATTGCTGATTGGCTGCACCTGGCGGTAATGCGTTTCCTGTTTCCTGTTTTCAGTGTTGCACTACGTGTACCTGTTTGGTGTTTGGGGCTCGCTAAAACTGATTTAATTTCTCTGTACTAGAATATCTCTGAGTTATTGTAGCACATAAGCACGCTAAAACACACATTTTCTGTTGTTCCACCTAGCTTTTAGGGAACCATTTGAGTTCGCACGCAGTTTATTTGGTGTTGAACAGTTTGCTCGTCCAGTTAGCATAGCCTCAGCACGGCTATGGCTACGTCTGTCTCTGCTTCTCCATCTCCTATCTCTTGCTCTCTGTGTCAGATGTTTAGTTACTCCTCTGCCTCCTTTAGTGACAATGGTACGTGTAATAAATGTAGCATTTTTGTAGCTTTGGAGGCGAGGGTGTCGGAATTGGAGTCCCGCCTCCGCGCTGTTGAAAAACCCGTAAACAGCCGTAGCTACTTAGCTAGCGCGGGGCTAACTAGCTCAGAACAACCCTGTAGCGATCCTCCAGCAGAACCCGAGCAGTCGGGATCTCAGGCCGGCTGGGTGACGGTACGCAGGAAGCATAGAACCCAGCCCGTGGGCCACCACCAACCCGTCCACCTTTCTAACAGATTTTCCCCGCTCAGTGACGCACCCACTGACAAGCCGACTCTGATCATTGGCAGCTCCATTTTCAGAAACGTGGCCTTAGTTCATCATGTTAATTTCCTCTTTACGCGTGGTATTAGATGATGTTGCCCCTTTAAAAAAGAAGGTAATTAGGGACAGGAAGTTGGCTCCCTGGTTTAATTCTCATTTACGAGCCTTAAAACAAAACTCTAGGAAATTGGAGAGAACATGGCGCTCTACGCACCACGAGGAGGCCTACCTATCCTGGAAAAATAGTCTTGTGCTTTATAAAAATAAGCTTAGACAAATTAGAACTGCTTATTTCTCAGCATTAATTGAGGAGAATAAGCATAATCCTAAATTTCTTTTCAGTACAGTTGCTAAACTTACACAGAATCATAGCTCTGAGCCATCTATTCCCTTAGCCCTCAGCAGCAATGACTTCATGGGTTTTTTCACAAGTAAAATTAATTCTATTAGAAAAAAAATCTTTAGCATCCTCCCTAATGTGATTTCTTCTCCCTCAGTAAGTGAGGCAGCATCAGAGGTGACTGTAGAACCTCATCTGTGCTTGGACCGTTTTGATCCAGTTGAGCTTTAAGAGTTATCAAAAATATTAGCTTCATCTAAACCTTCAACTTGCATTTTGGATTCAATCCCAACCAACTTATTTAAAGAAGCATTTCCTTTGGTTACTGCCCCCATTCTAGATAAAATCAATCTATCCTTAGTAAATGGATATGTACCACAGGATTTTAAGGTTGCTGTAATCAAACCTTCACTTAAGAAGCCTTCTCTGGATCCAGATGGCCCAATGAATTATAGACCAATATCTAACCTTCCATTTTTATCCAAAGTCCTGGAGAAAATAGTGGCCATCCAAGTATGTGAGCATTTAAACACTAATGCTCTGTTTGAGGAATTTCAGTCTGGTTTTAGAGAGTATCACAGCACTGAAACTGCATTAGTGAGAGTTACAAATGATATTCTCATGGCCTCAGATAAGAATCTTGTGTCTGATCTAGTCTTGTTAGATCTCAGTGCTGCCTTTGACACAGTTGATCAGCATGTTCTTTTAGAAAGACTTAAACATGTTGTGGGGATCAAAGAAACAGCGCTAGGCTGGTTTACATCCTACCTGTCTGACAGATTTCATTTTGCAAATGTACATGACAAATCATC